CTTGGGAACCTCTCTCTTATCCTGGTACGTACTGAGATACGTAATATAGGTAGCTGTACCTTTTACACAATCAAAGAGATAAAAGGAAATATTTACTTTTGGAATTCAAGAGAGAGAAAAAGGTATGCTTATGACACAAGCCATGATAACTGGGAGAGTTTTGTGGACTTTTGGGAGTGGAAAGCATGTTTGATGGATGGTGGTGTACAGTACCACTATATTCCCAAGTCAGCATGTGAGATTGATGGTGTATGGTATTGTATACGTCATGCTCCCAACCACCACCACTTCTTCTCGACAAAGAATGGAGTAGATTGGGATGTTGTGAATGGGTTATTCTCATTAAGAGGGATGTACAAAAGGAATGGTGGCTCTAGTAGAAATACAACTAAGTTAGTTAGCTGTGGTGGGAAGCTCTTATTTTTGTGGGAAGGTTATATGAAACATAATCCCAGTAATAGAAAGAAGATTTGGTGCGCGGAAATCACATTGAAAACTGATGATAAAGGTCAGGTTTGGGGGAATGTTGAGGGGATTGATGTTGTGCAAAGCGTTCCCACACAGTGTGAGCTCTTGCATTGTCTCGTTGTTACCGTTTGATGGACTTGTATCAAAGGTATGATCTAATTACACCAAGTATAGGTCAGTCCCCCGAGTTGAGGTTTGACTCAATGGAAAGATGAGGTACATTTTGTTTGAAAAAAGGTTTATGCTTCTTTTATACCATTTGCCAAAGTTGAAGATTAGTAAGTATTATTGTCCTCTTATATATGAATGTATTGTTGATCAGTTTGAGAGAGGAGAAGGAACCAGAAGCAAAAGGAGAGCAACAAGAGTGAAGGAGGAGATTTGACGTTTATGAACATAACTTTTATCATTTTTGTCAAACTAGCTCGGCAACTGTACTTTGTTTTGTCTCTGGATATATTTTCCTAAGCCTTTGACTGATCAGTATTGTAGTAATCATATTGGTGACTCCAAATTATGTTAATGCGAGGTCTGAAACACATCAAATTGTCTCATGCTCTTAAGGTTCGCCGATGAATATACCATATCCCCTTCTTATTATTTGAGGAGAACTTTTGCAAATAAACCTTTACTTCATGTGTTTATTACATGCATGCCATTTCCTACGTGGCAACTCCACAATCCTTCTCACACCTTTTAACTAAAAAACCTTAGTTAACTAGAATAATTACACAAGATGCCATTGATATAAATATACATATATGATATATGATATATATGATATAACAATAAAGACATGCATATACTCGGCATATAGTTAATTAAATTTCCTTATATATTTCCTTATATATGATACGATATATTTTGTTACATAAGTATGATATATTTCCTGATATAAGTATTTTGTCATCACCTACGATATATTTCAAAATATATTTCGTTACATGAAGTATAAATAAAAATAGGAAAAAAATGCGACCTTATTTCATAATTAGGCATATATTTAAATTTTAAATATAATATTTTATATTTTATAAAATCGAACTTTATATTTTATATTTGGACAATATTCGATGTACAAAATACTGTTGTCTTCAACTTCAAAATATATTTCGTTACATAAGTATAAATAAAAATAGGAAAAAAATGCGACCTTATTTCATAATTAGGCATATATTTAAATTTTAAATATAATATTTTATATTTTATAAAATCGAACTTTATAAAATATTTCGACAATATTCGATGTACAAAATACTAT